AGTCATTTAAACCAAAACACCTCTGCAATCACTTTGCAACTAATGAGAGTGCAAGAGAAATGTGAACAAAATTTGCCTGTTATCTTGAATTTTTCTCAAGGTTAAGTACATTGTTTGACTTTCACCATCAACTCCTATTAACCTCTCATTTCTAAATTGTCAGCGTTCACGGAGATGCTGCGAAAACGGATTACTACCTGCTGAAGAAAACTGAATATGAATGTAATTCCTATGAAAACAAGCATTTAGGTAGCGAGTGCAAAGTTTTGGTGGCACTTTAGGTGTTGAACAATATCTTTGACTTTCAACTCACAGTAAGCAATAAGGGAGGTAGTGCCATTGAAATGTTATATTAACCAATAATATCCTAAGGTATACTTATACATCAAGCCACAAAGATCTCATTGTCTAAATCTATTTGAGGGAAGGCATGTCCGCCCAGGATAATTGGTCAGTCGCATGGCTGCTTTTGCCTGTTCTCGACTCACCACACCCTTAGTTATCAATTTGGCTGGTGCAATCTGTGAAAAAGCATTAAAAGAATATTTTTCAGCCTTTAGCGAAGCACGAGGCTTGGGTAAGTTGGTACTATCCTCATTGCCGAATAGAATCAAATTGCACATGTTTATTAACACTGTAGCAGTAATTAATTCTCTACATCTACTTTTATTCGGTAGCATTGACGTGTTTGAACTACGACCAAATGAATCAAATTAGCAAATGTCGTTTTTAAATGTGGATCACATTCTGTTAGCAAATTACCATAAGCACGCTCTGCAAAGGCCCTATATCATAGCACATTAAGTTCTTTTAAAAAGTGTGTTCTAAAAAACATGGAGTGACAAGGTCATTTTTGCACTCTCTGCCATTTAATTTTATTTGAGTAGCATGATACACGAATGTTCACACAAAGTGCTACATATCTCTGCTCCATACCACTCACTTAGCATCTTAATTCATGTTTTCTTTAGCACATCATTCTGTTCCTCCTTCTCCTTGGCGTCTACCTTCGATCCTTCTGCATCTTCTCCTTCATCCTCTTCCCCTCTTCTGCTCTCATTGCTACTAACCATCTGAATTGTGAGACTAGCACCCTGTCTTAATACATCCGTTTCACCATGTGGCTGCAAATGTGTTCTACTTTGAATGGAGTGCTATCGATCAACACACTAGGTGCCTAGCTGCATCACATTATC